CCCTGCCCTGCCTGGCCCCTCCCCCCGCCAGCCCCCCAATCCCTGCCCAGCCAGGTTCTGCTGCCTTCGGGGCTCCTCTGCTGCCCAACCGGGCTGGGCCCAGGGCGGCAGGAGCAACCCCAGGGCCGGCAGGATCTGGCAGGCACAGTGCATGGTCCCCATGCACTGCGCCAGGTCCTGGTGCCCTGGGCCCAGCCTGGCCTGGCCCAGCCAGGCAGCAGAGGGGCCCCGAGGGTGGCAGCACCTGGCTAGGCCCAGCCCAGCTGGGTGGCAGAGGGGCCCTGGGGGTGGCAGGATGTGGCTGGGCCCAGCACACGGTCCCTGCACACCGCGCTGAGTCCTGCCACCAATGGCCCAGCCCGGCTGGGCGTTAGAGGGGCCCCAAGCGTGGCAGGTCCTGCTACCAAGGACCCAGCCCAGCAGCAGAGAGGCCCCCAAACCCGGCTGAGCCCAGCATGTGGTCCCCATGTGCCGCACCGGGTCCTGCCAGCAAGGGCCCAGCCCAGCCTGGCGGTAGACAGTCCCCAGGGCCAGCAGGACCTGGCTGGGCCTGGCGCATGGTTTCTACATGCTGTGCCAGATCTTGCTGCCATGACTCAGAGCGCCTCGCTCCTGCTGCTGCTGCTAAAGGCATGGGCCCTGGGCGGGGAGGCTGGGGCTCTCCAGGGGGAGCTGGGACCCTGGGCAGGGAGGCTGGGGCCCTGTGTGGGATAGGGGCTGTGGGCCTTTAGTGGGGAGCTGGGGCCCTGTGGTGGAGGGGCATTCCATGTGTTGTGGGGGGGGCCTGCACCCTGTGGGGGCCAGGGGACCCAGCCCTCCTGAGAAGCCCCCCCACAGGGTCCCCTACACCCACAGTCCCCCCAGTTGTGTTAATTGTAGAAAAACATGGAGTTTGGGATATTATTAAAAATGGATTTGGGATGCTGCTGCAGCAGTCCAGCTGGCACAAGGGGTAGTGTCCCCAGGTACCAAGTGGCCGAGCCCCAGAAGTTCTGGAGAGCGAGTAGCCCTGAGCTGCTTGCCAGGGCAGCTTTTTGTATGGATGGAGCCAAGACAGGGCAGCGTTTTATACTGCTGGGGACAGCGTATGTGCTGGCCCTGGGCTCTAGCTCCCCCTGGCTGCAGATCCGAGAGCAGGCAGGCAGGGTTATTTTGCCTCAAGCGGCACGATTTACTCCACATCAAAGTGCATGTCTGAGCATGTGCGCTGAGGCAAAAAGCCCCGGCTCAAATTTGCACCACTTCTATTTGAGCTGCTGCAAGTGCATGTGCTTGCATGTGTGGACGCACCCATGTAATATAATGTATAATGTAGTGATTGTGACAGCACTGGTGTCAGTATATCTTCCTATCCGAGGCCCTGGAGTCTGCTATCAATGGTCAGCTTCCTTCAAGGCAATGTCTTGTCCAGAAGGGGGTCACCTACTTGTCCTTCTGTCTTGTTAGGTCAGGTGCTGGATGGGAGGGCGCCACTGAGGATCATGCTTCACTGACTTTTATCCCTTTTTGGCAGACTTGTGTGATCCCCCAGCATCATCTTGGCTGCCCAATCTGGAGGTCACTGTCCTATTTGGGTCTTGAGTAGTGCATGACAGCTGTCAGTCATGGGTTTCTGCCTGCCAGTATGTGCAGTTTTGGGAGTCCACCTGTGACTTGATTGACTCAATGGCTGTATTTCCATGGGTTACAGAAATAGTCAATAGGGTAGGTGCTCAGTTCTGGGAACCAGCTCCTTGGCTTAATTAGCCTAAATGGCTTGTAGAGTAGAGTTTTGTAATGGTAAGTTCCTCTGGTTAGGCTATTGTCAATTAACAGCCAGAGGTTCTTGCTTTGCCATTTAATTACCTACTGATTATCATACATACTCACATTCACTCAAGGGACCAGCCCAGTATAGCAGATTTTAGCACTTTACAATAACAATTTCAATGCAGCTTTTAACAATGGTCCAAGGTGTAACTTCATTCTACAGGGAGTACATTCTTTAAGGGTTTAAAAATATTAACTATTAAATACAAAATGCCATGGTAGAGATGAGCCAGATGAAATATAAAAATGAACTGTGAGAAATATATAAAATTGTAGTGTGAGGTACTGAGAATCAAAGGCTACTGGGAGACAGTAAATGAGTTAGGTTAGCACCAGGATATATTTACAGTCTTTGAAGTAGATATTTTAGTTTTTTTGGGTTTTTTAGTGACACTTAGCTCAGTCAATATGTAGATGTAGTTTGTAGGATTCTCCTACAGAAAGCCTTTTCAGCTTTCTGGCTTGCTCTAAGCCTTGCCACACCCTTGCAATGTGTGTGCTAGTTCTCTGACAATATTTAGAAGGAAAAAGAAATGCACAAAAGGAGGAGTGGGGGGATGGGGAGGAAAAAAGGGGCTGCTTGTTACAAGGAAAGGCTTTTTCGGCCTTTCACATGGATGGGCCAAGTCTAGATTCTGCTAATCTTTGGAAAAAATATTCCATAGTCAGAGAACAGTGTTTCCCTAGCTCTCACCTGGTGGATCCTTGGCCTGGTAATTTGCATTGTTCTAGGGGAAATGTTCTGATGGTTTATATATCAAAGCACATGAATATTGTATATAGAAATATGTTGTATATGTGCATAATTGTAGTGCAGACCTCTTCATTTTAAGAGGTGTGCTGCATACTTCTAGGTCCATAGTATGAACCATTTTTCTTTTTACCCTATATTTATGAAATTCTAGTATTACCCCTTCTGTTTTCCTGGGCAACCTTTCAATTTCTGAAAGGATAAATTAAAGCCTAGCTTTTATAGTTTTGGAGAATCCTTGCATTTGTTCACAGCCCACCTGTTTTTTGATAATTGGTATGAGGTCAGATTGTAAAAGGGGTTTATCACAAAAAAGAACTTAATTAGTCGTGAGCAAGAGAGAGAGAGAGAGAGAGGTAATGGTACTTTTAATAGCAGTTGTAAAGTTAAGTTCTTCAAAGCCATATAGACAGACACTACAAACAGAATAAGAGACATTTGTTGCCCTTCATATCTTACAGTCCATGGTAATGCAGACTTTAAAAATTAATTACCGTCTTTTTTAGTTCTTAATATTAGAAACCAAATCCTGATCTTCCAGTAATATTTCAAACAAGTACAGTGAGGCCATTTAGAATGCTTGATAAGCTGTCTCTGTCACATTGTTAACTTGTTATAAAATAAAAGAACTTTCTGATAGGCTGAGACACCTCTCTTAGAATATTGTTTTAAGCAATTTGAGTACTAAATGAGCTTTTTTTTAAAGTAAGGTAAGTTATAGTCCTTGATATATTTAATAGACTAAGTAATATTGTTTGCAATTATGTTACATGATATTTTTATAACACTGTATCAATGCTGTCACTGGAGAATAGTGCCTAAATGTTGGTGCACGGTATGCAAACTATGAATAGATTCAAAATTCTATTAATTTTATTCTTGTTAGATAGAAATTTCATACCAAGACAAAGAACCTTTGATTTGGTTAAAGGGACCCTATCACCTTGAAATCTAGCTTTAGCGTTAAAGAACAAGATAAAAATAATTTAATATATCACATGTCTCTCTAAGCTCCTCTGCTAGTTTTTTTCCTAATTAGTTTCTTCCTTTGTGAAATGATTTTGTTCTTCCTTTTCATTAGCATATGTCCTGCAGAGAAGAAATGGTCAAAAGCTGTCAGTTACATAAAAATGAAACTAAAAAAGTAGAAAACAATTAGATTTTCCCTTAATCTCTGTCAGTTTTAAATCATTTGGGATTCTGCATGTGTTTGGAAATTTTGGTGGGTAAAGCTTGTATATGTCAAATTAAATATTTTAAAATTTAAAATATTGGATATAAGGCACCTGAAATGATCAGGTTCCCACTATGCCAGGTTCACCTCTATAGGTATAGCATGTACAGTCTTTATTCTTCTGACTGGATAAATTAGATGAAGGAAGGATTCACTTCTTGGAAAGAAAAACAACTGTATTGGTGCCTCTATCTGTCAGAGGGTTTTCTGGTGGAGTCAATAGGAGCACATGTCCTGATGCACCTCCCTTTCGCTGCCTCTGAGTCTTTTGAAGGTTTAGGAATTGTGATTATGTATCCCCATTATTAGTGATGGCCTTACTGCCACCTGTGGGCCTGTAGCCTGAATTGTACTGAGAGATGAGTCTGGAGAAGTCTAGGTACGTTTTATTTGTCAGTGCACATGATATGTATATTGATTAGAATGGGTGAGATGTTTTGATGTATAAGATGAACAGGATAAATCAGTACCAGTCATGAAGAGTCTTTTACTGGACATTTAGCTATTTAAGTTATGTAACTTTTTTTCAATTTATGCATGGAGAAAAGGAGAACCTTTTCTTGATGTAGCTGCTGCTAATCGCATTTGAAAAATATAATTATGGACATAGATTAATTCAGGATCCAGTGAACATTATTTATAGTAGTGAGTCTGATCTTGCCACATTTCCCTTTAAATAATATTTTAATTATGACTGAGACCTGGGTACCTCACTGTAGAAGAAGAGAGAGAGTAATGGGGAAAATCTCACTCTGTAGGGTTGAAATACTTAGTCTGTAGACATGAAAGAGAAATCTGCAGCTTTATAAAATAACTGCATTTTTATAATATACTTCAGAATGGATCGAGCTTTAAAAGACTATCAAGCAACCATGGAAGAACTATATCAGAGAGTTCCTACACCTCCAGAACCAGAATTGCCTTCCACTGTGAGTTCTGAATTCCTTTCAGGTGTATTCTCACTTTGATTATGTAACATCTTTAATTCCTTTAATTGTGCACTCTTGGTTTCAGCATTGCAAATGTAGATAATTAGCGCCCTATCTTATATAACTCTGCCCAGTTGAGCTGTCCCATTTAAGTCAATATATTTCACTTAAATGGGACAGCTATTATAATATATACCTTCTCTGCTTGGGCCTGTAGGGGGGCTGTCAGGAAAGCTAAG